TAGATCGGAAAGAGTTTTCGCAGAATATGGTGAAGAAACGTGAGAGATGAATTTTTTTTTTGGCAATAACGTGAGAGTCATTGTCTGTCTCCTGTAAGGACAGAATCCGCTCTTGCAGCCTGAGCCGGAACAACCCTTGAGGAAAGTTTTGCTTCGCTGCTTTTATAATTCGAGTTGCTCCCTTCAGGTCAGACAGTGGCTACTATCTACAGGTCAGCTTCAGGAACTTACTCATGCAATCAAAGAAAAGCGATCGCGAAGGGTTCCCGTCTATCTTCTGCGTAATAACAACGGTAGGACGATGCAGTCCACGTTACGGAAACTTCACCAGAACCCTGTCCTAAATCTAACCCCCTGACTCCATCTTTTCTGAATACCTTTTCTTCGAATTCCTCAAGCACTTCATACCCAGAAGAAAGTTCGTTACTTTTGATGTCCTCAAAGAAGCTGTGACTAATTCACAGTCCTTCTCTCAGAGGAGGAAGAGGAGTCGACCTGGTTTCTAGCTGGACGAATGCCACAAATAACCATAGTGGTCTAGTTCACTTAGTGGAAATTTGAATGAAGTTGTAACAGAAATCAGAATGCTCATCCGAATGTCTCAGACTTTCCCATCAGCCTAATACTTTCCCGTCGAGGTTGTTCTGCTCGCGGCCTCTGACAGCTATGGATAAGGAGAAGGCAGGGAGAGTGGGAGATGTCTCGCGTCCTGTGCGCACGTTTCTAATCGGAACGCTACGATTAACCGGAGATCAGTTGGATTCTTGAGTTCAAAGGCACAGTTCAAGATAAAAATGGTTTCTGAGATTTCCCCATAATACGGATTTGAAGCCCTGCCTTATACCATAGCTGCCGTCATAAGGTCGCAAAACGTCCTGTAAAGGGCACAATAAGGGGCCAGAGATTGTATCGTGTTACTGTCACACCCATAGTGGACGAGTTTCAACGGTGTTGTAAAGGCAGCACGATCTCACGGCCCATCCATGTGGGAAGATCAAACAACTTGTCATGTGCCATGGCGACAGTTAAAAGCAGTCCTGGACCATTCCGGCTCGACGTACTTAGATCTTTGCGTTGTTAGAGCATGTGGATCTCGTCCAAATACCCCTTACATGTCATTCTCCTCATGGAGATCTCGTACAATTTCTATTTCCACTACTCTTTGAAAACGCTTGGTTTTTCGCAATGTGGCTGTATTTTATCGCTTTCTTTCTTTGCCACCGTTATTGCTCTACATCAACGCTTCCACTTTTCAACTTAGAAGGGGCACATCAAAGTTATCTTGAGCTTTACCTTCAGATTTAATGTAATATTTGATACTTTCAGATGTCATGGAAGACGTTTGTTATCAACACTTTGAAACCATCGAACAACGAATTACGATCTGTTATCGAAAATGCGCTTTGGAAAAACTATAAGAATGTTCAAGTCACGGTTGACACTAGTCCAGGTTAGAGACATTGTCATGATTTGCTTATTAGGCTTAGGAATTCCATGGAGCGTAATTTACTCGGCAGAGCCGATCTTGGTAGTGCTAACTTTTCTTACCCACACAACGCTCTCGTGTCTCCATAACTTGTCCGAAATTAATCGCTTCCTCTTTACATTAGTCAAAACCCTTTTTATGGTTACTAGCAGTGCAGTTTTCAGATCTCTCAAAACCACCATTTCGTATGACGGCAAATGGGTTCGGGAAAAAGCTTTCAATTGCTGAAGTTGGCGGCATGGGAAACCTCTTTCCTATACTACGCAAGGACAAGCTTTACAATACCGAAGTATGTCTACCAATAAGCACTAACAGTCTAACTCAGCTACGATAGAAAAATGTTTTTTTCGACTGATACAGGAACGAATATTCGATGTGGGAACCCGATTCCTACAGTAACCTAGCCATGGATATTGACGGAACGAGTGATCGTAATGCAATACGACCACTCGTACTTCCGAGATAAGTAAACTTCTCAAAGGTATCCAAACTTATTGTCCGGCAGTGATGTCCACCTGGGCAACCCGTGTTCATGGGGTTGAACTCATTGGCACCCTCCAAAACCAACCATATCCGCTTTATTGCTGAAGCCGTAGGCTGACAATTTGTGATTCGTTTTTGTCTTTAGCCATAGAGGCGATTTCATCCGCAAAGTCTAGACCTGCTTTCGTGGTCCGTGGTCGAACCCACTGGAGCCTGCTTCATCATTTTTCTCATGACGAGGTCCGAACGGGCTTTTCATGACGAAGTGCAGACAACTGACGAACAACAATGATGAGGGGGTTCATGTCAGCTTCACACCGGTGACAATCCTGAACGAATGGTGTACGACCTGCCTTCAACCTTTCATAGCCAAATGATTTGGGATATGGATTTCCTTCGATGAAGGTTTAAGCGCGCCAAGCACTGACTTGTACCTCGGCCAGCCACCGCGAGCATTCAAGTACCTTTACGATTTTGAATGGAAGTCGGATGCGTGGCGCATCCATCCGACGGGATTGATTGTGCCCCAGGGCTTGATCCTTTGTCCTCACTTTATTGTGGCCGGCGTCGGGGTCTGTCCCAACACGGAACGGCTGTTACTGAAGTGGTGTAGGACTTCCTCATCTGGGAAGTAGTAAATGAATCGTACCTGGATGATCCGATTTGGGCACATTTGACGAGACTCGTCCATCTTTCATTAGGAAATTATTCATAGCGATTACCCATAACGACTCAAAAGGAATAAATGATAACGGATAAAGTTTTTGGCGTTAATCAGTCCCGTCTGAAGGATGCGCCCCGCACCCGATTTCCATTCAGAATCGTAGTGGCGTAATGAGTGCGTATACAATGGCTTGTGGTGGCCAGCCGATGTATAAGTCAGTGCTTTTATCCTCCCAGACGAGTCTGGTATCAATTTTTCAAAAATTTTTCGCGAATGAGTGGCTGCTCCCTCTTTGCTTCCTAGCTAGTCAATTAATCAACTAATTACTTACTCTACTCAAATTGCTCAAGCAACCTTACAATTAGTTCTTGTCCCTTCTTGGATAGTGTCAATTAGTAGAGTCGATTAAGTGAAGCCAATAAGACTTTTGTTCCTTCGAAAATTTTTTTATTTTTATGAAATCGTTGTCGATCTATGCAAGAAAAAGTCCGCTTTTGTATTTGGACCATGTGCCTCTCCTGCTTCCATCGTTGGAGCCACTGGCGAATTCATTATTGATGCGAATTTCGCCACATCAAAGGTATGTCAGAACTTTTAGGGATTGTTTGCTGTAAAGAAGCTCTGTTGGTAGTCAACCAATGTTAGAAATACTTGACAAAAACGACAGTAGAAATTCAGTAATCATACCAGAAGTGCAAGAGGGAAGGGGAAGGTGGTGGGGAGGGGAGAGAGGGAACATGTTACAGCACAAACCAGGAGGCAGGTTGAGGAACCACTTTGAATCCCTCATACAGTCATTTCGTATACCTTTCAGCATTTTACCATTCCCAAGATTATGGTCCGATGCTGCTCATTTGGTCAATTTCGATACCATATCACGACTATGTGACAAGCATAGCATCTTCCGCAAGGACAGCACACATTTTCGAAGATCAGAGGACCTGTCATGGCGACAGTAGTGCTGCAACCAGCACCCACACTCGTCTGAACATCCCTTCCATGTCACCTCTGCCGTCTAAACTCGTACACTCCGTTTTTTACCACTTCTTTTAGGATCTGCTTTCCCAAAATCTGCTGATTTTTCCGCTTTTTCGCTTTCTTTCCACTGTTCCGCACCACATCTGCCACGCCTGATAGGGTATCGAAATTGACCAAATAAGCAGCATTGGACCATAATCTTAGAAATGGTACAGAGCTTAAAGGTGTGCGAAATGACTGTATGTTGGATTTGAACTGGGTACTTCTGAATTTACCTCAAATTGTCCTTCAATGGCACAGTGCACAATAATTTCAAGCACCCTTTTGGTGTTCAAAAGTGGAGTTATTGGTAGAGCTCATGATAGTAGTGAGCATAGAGGTTGTAAAAGACTATCATGATGAAAAGGTCATGGGAGGGATTCTCGGACGAGATTTCGGTTGCTACGACTGTGCAAACAACTGACTACATCAGGCCAAAAACGTCCAAAGCAGCCTTCTACTGTCGCCTTGGGTCACGGCTACCTTTTCGAGTTTCCTACATGGGTGTATCTTGAATTGTGCAGCCTGTCCAACGCCATTGAAACTCTTCCACCTGATTGTATCTGCGCCATACTGGCAGTACAACCTTTGAATCCTTTGTCCTGACTAGGCTGTTCTCCGATCTGGACAGTGCCACATATCGTATACAAAGTGCCACACAGGTTCATTCTGAAGGAATATCTCAAAAACCATTTTTCATCGTGAACGTGGCCTTCAAGGTTGCATGCAAAGTAACGATTCAACAAAAAGGGCACACGTCGCCGTACAAGATGCTCGTTTTCGACACACCGAAGTTTGATTTGATGGCAAATCTAGCGATATCTGAAGAGCAGGGACCAGGAGAAGTAGGTAAGATGAAAGATTTTTTCATCGATAGGAGAAGCTTGCTCTAAGGATTGTCATCTCCTTGGTATTAGGAATATCGGCTTATCAGCGAATTCGAGTTTAAATGGGATTGAGTTTAATCTGTTTCTCTTACAGTACACGTCAAGTGCTCTGAACGTAAAGGCGAGGACAATCTGCCAGGCTGCATCCGGAAAGAACTTGCTCGTCATTACGGACCGAGGTATGATGGAGCTGTCATTCGGACAACTTTGTACGCAGGGTACATCTTGTGTCACCGATTCCGCCAGCGGAGGGTTGTTAAGACAGTCATCCTCTTCTCCACCTCCCTCTCCTTTTTTGATCACTAAATGCTTTTTGGTTGGGGTACGCGGGGTGGGAGGTAGAGGTCCCAGGTAGAAAGAGGACAGGATGGGTGCGGATGCATGACTGAGGTGCTTTTTATGACCTGCTTGACTTCTCTATAGTACAGGCCTCGTAGCCGCCCAATTCGAACAGCACTCCCTACATCTCACTGTTCATAAAACTTACCTGAATCCTCACGTCCCTTCGATCATCGGCCTTCTCGAGCATAAACTGGTAACGTCTTCATTCGGCTCTGTCGCGAGCCAAAGTACAGTCGAGGATGCTTTGCATCGCTTCGTTTCCTCGAGGGCGCGGACCTCGATTATTTACGAGCAGACCTTCTAGCTGATCCCACTTTCAACTTGATTGAAGTACCTTAAAGGCACGGTTCATGATAATTTTGAGGTACTGTCTTAGGTAGAAAAATGGAAAAATGAAATCGATGTAGAGTAATGCATCGGTGGCAAAGAAAGGGAGAAAGTCCGCCTAATTCACGAAAAGTAAGACATTGCAGAAGTAGTGGAAGTAGAGGTTGTGTAGAGGTAGAGGATCACCGTGACGGGAAAGACACGAAATGGGTATTTGGACGAGATTTCATTCATTGCAACTGCGCAAAGAGCTGTACGCATCAAGTCGGAATTGTACAAAACTGCATTCCATTGTCGCTATGGGTCTTGGCAAGTTGTTTGAGCTTCCAATATCGGAGTCCCTTGAGATTGTGCNATTGCAACTGCGCAAAGAGCTGTACGCATCAAGTCAGAATTGCACAAAACTGCATTCCATTGTCGATATGGGTCTTGGCAAGTTGTTTGAGCTTCCAATATCGTAGTCCCTTGAGATTGTGCAGCCTCAACGACACCGTTGAGACTCGTCCGCGTGGGTGTGGCATTAACACGATACAATGTCTGGCCCCTTATTGTGCCCTATCCAAGACTTGGAATTCATCCTATGGGGAGATCTCAGAAACCATTTTTTTCGTGACCTGTGCCCTCAGGAAAATTTAGGCAATGCGACGGTTTTCGACTGATTAAACGGTCGTAAAAGGATTGTTCCGTCAGTTGACCACGAATTGGTAGCAGTAGTATTGTATTGCTCAGTTGTAGGAGTTGATCTAGAGAAAAGGATGAAAGCCGAGATGTGAACCACTGATTGTGAAGACTCAACCAACAAAACTTTATCTCTGTAGTTAAAAGGCCGAAACCTTACGCGCCGGGCCATCAGATAGGTACTGCATAGGCGTGGGTTTCCCATCGCATTGCAGTTGAAGGATAAAGGATAAGGTTTTTGGGGTTAATCAATCCCGTCTGAGGGATACGCACCCGTACTCGACTTGGCTAGCCGATGTGCAAGTCAGTGCTTTCATCCTCTCAGAAAAGTCGGGTACCGATTGACCGACCCCGGAGGGATGGAAGGCTTCGTTGGTGGCCGATATCGATCCGGGATTTGAGCCCCTGACCATGCATGTGAAATTGTGCGTCACTTGCCATTACACCACCTCTGCCCCTATCGCATTGCACGGTCGTATTACGGCATTACAGTAATGTGGTGTTTTCCACAGTACGCTGTGCTGTAAAATTATTTTTTACGTGGTCGTTGCGCTTCCAAACATTAACGGTATTACATACAATATTATCTGCATGTGTACGTATTACAGTTGTGTTTCTTTGGCTGGAATTTTTGTTCTACACCAAGGAAAAGCAGATGTACATATTGTTCCTGATTATCCATCTGATAACTTCAAGTCGATGGATGAGGTAACTCCTCAGTTTCAGCTCACTCTGAATTGACTGGATGAAAATTATCAAAAATTTAGGTCAGGAAGTGGTTTCATATGTTCAATGTGAAAGCACCACTAGTCTGTGCAACCGTTTTCCATTCATATGATGCTGGCTACAACCTTCGGATGGAACATACTCATTGTTACTCTGATCATAATGATGGTGGTAAGTGTACGGCAACTCACGGTAATACAGTACCGTAGTGTTCAATTTCTTCCACTTAACCAGCGAGTTTCAGGTCATTACCACACCGACACCACTCCTGACACGGTTGTATATGAAGGATGGTTCACAGCCGCTGAGAAAATTTACCGAGTCGACCAAGTTTAGAAGAAACATCGTTTGTGAAGTGTTTGTAGAGGGACAGTGTAAATATAAATACAGTTTCGAGAAAATTTACAAGATTAAATAAATATTTTTTTCGTATTGAAATATGCCAGATCATTTGTGTAGGACCATAGGTCAGCCCGATTATTTGCAACGAGTTGTATTCAGGTGGAAAGTATGGGAACGTTGGATTGGCAGGAATGTTCTGTCCCAGTCTTCAATGGTTTGCTTTATTAGTGTACAGGATCACGAGAAGCAGAGTTTGAATATACCCCTGAAAAGTTGTAAGGAGCGATTTCTGGTTTGTACGGAGTGGAGGAGGGAGTACTGCCCAACAGTAATGCACAGTGTTACGACTTCACCTCTCTCCCTTCATTTCTTTCTTGCGTAAGGTGTCTTACCATGCTGACTTCGATCTTGTCTGACAGTTTCTTCCCGGTGATCGACGATGTTTTAGATCTTTGATTCTGTTGGCGTTAGACAAGCCCGAAACTGCTCTGAAGTTGTGATCAAGAGCGCAGATCCTACCTACAGAAGCCAAGCGTGCAGTAGATTGAACCACACAATTCCTACCAGACCGATTCTTGGCGTTTTCTGAATTTAGAAACAACCTATTCTTTACTTTATAGGCCCAATACACATTCGGAATGGCTCTTTGGTATCTGATATGGGAGTTATTCATGACCTATAAAAATTGAGATGAAGTCACACTCCACCTGAATTTTGAGGTCCCCCCAAGGTAAAAAAAGTTTGTGTCATCGCAGAAGTGTGCATCAGCGAAGAAGACATGAAAGTCCGCAGACCTCGCGAAGTATAAGAGGTTGCCCGAATCTTCGATGACGGGAATTCAACAGACGTGGTATTTGGACGAGATTTCAGTTGTTGTCGGTGAGCTCCACGGTCGTCATGGGCCCTTTGTCTGTATTTCCAACATGGGTCTCCCTCGTCAATGGGTCAACGGATGAGTTTCAATGGCTCTACAAGGCCATTGAAACTCATCCGTTGGGCATGGCATATTCGATACAATCTCTGAGTCCTTATCACGCTCTATCCAGGGAGCCGAAAATTGGAAGATACTTTTTTCGTGAATGGTGCCGCCAAGCTGAAAATGGCAAAAACGGCGTCTCGAGTAATTGTGAGTCACGACTAGTTGTTTGGATTACGAACATGAGTATTCCTTGTCAATGGTGCAACCTTCACTATGCCGCTGAAACTCGTCCTCTTTCGGGTGTGTCCGTCTGTCGAGATAGTTTTGAACTCCTCATGCGCCATATCCAGGCCGTTTTTGACCCGAATGCGCCCCGTGTGATGTCCATGGAGGCCACAAGTTTGCACCAGTAGCACATCCTTTCGTATATCATTACAGCAAAAATAGCATGGGGTGAGGAGCGAAATAAACAGGTTTTCTTTAACATTTTTTAAAATGAATTCAGGGAAATAACGTTTGGGAGATTCTTAAGCCAGGTTGTCGCTATTTGTTGTTTGGAATTCATAGCTTGGAAGCGACAATCAACTTCTATATGGTCCATAGCGGACAACAAATTCCGCAATGGTGCTGAAGTGAACGCTTATTTAGATGATGCGTAAGAATTGAGTGGCGACCGAAACGAAACGAAATGAAACTCTCTCAGCTATTTGGCACTATACTGTAACCTCAGAGCAGGATAAGTGACATAATCTCCAAGAACTTCAATAGCCCTCGGATAAATATTGCAGCAGCCTCAGTTGGAGACCTCG